ATGAAGTCACAGGAGGTTGGAGAAAGCTGCATAATGAGGAGTGTCATAACTTATACTCTTCTCCACATATAATTAGAATGATCAAGTCAAGGAGAATGAGGTGGGCAGGGCATGTAGCACGAATGGGGGAGAAGAGGAATGCTTACAGGATATTGTTGGGAAAGCCAGATTGAAAGAGACCACTGGGAAGAGCAAGGCGTATGTGAATGAACATTATGAAAATGGATCTTAGAGAGAGAGAATGGGCTGGTACAAATTGGATTGATCTGGCTCAGGATAGGAATCAGTGGAGGGCTCTTGTGAACACGGTAATGAACCTTCGGCTTCCGTAAAATGCTGGGAAGCTCTTGAGTGGCTGCACAATTAGCAGCTTATCAAGAAGGGCTCAGCTCCATGAGTTAGTGAGTGACATACAAAAATACATGTTGCTCTGAAGTGTACCTCACCATGACATAGCGCACTGCTCCAAACTGTAACTGAGTGCAGATGGCTAATGGAGCTGATAATTGTTGCCTACTGCTGAAAATCATAAACAAATTCCCACACACGAACTGCACTGCTCACTCTTATGATGACAAAATACATCCCCTTATCCTCTGCACACACACACACAGCACAGCCTTACCGATACTTTTTGCAGATTATTAGCTTTATACTATCAAATTCTTTATTCAATGAAGATGGACCAAGATGTTAAAGTACATCTGGAGATTACACAAAAGTGGTTTAACTCAAATAGAATGCTATTAAATTATAATAAGACTAACTTTATGCAGTTCTTTCCAAATACTGGTCATCAGACTTTGGATACCATTGAATTCAGTAATTATAAAATTAATTCTACTAATTTTCATTGGGTGCATCGTGTAGTGTTTATCGGATAAAATTCTTTATTGGGATCCATCGTAACAACAGTGAAACGGTTTAGATGAGTATCACCTTAGCTACTTGTATAATTCCATTAAATTTTTAGATATTATAATAGAATCTTCATTAACATGGAAAGAACATATTGATTATATAAATTCAAAGTTAAATTCATTAGGATACATGGTTCGTTCCATCAGACCTTTATTAGGATTGAAAATTCTAAAACAGATCTACTTCTCCTATGTTCATTCAGTGTTAAATTGTGGTATCATGTTTTGGGGCAATTCGCCACGCAATAGATCTATTTAATAAGCCAGAAACGAACTAAGAATTTTCATGAAAGCTAAAGCAAGGGATTCCTGTAGGGAAATGTTTAGTAAACTTGGAATTTTAACTCTCAATACATTTTTTCAACTCTTATGTTTGTTGTAAAGCATAAGGATTTATTCACAATAAATATTTAATTGCATAAAATAAATACTTGCAAGAAATTGGACTTTCATGTTCCTTTAGTAAGTCTAACTAAAATCCAAAAGGAGGATATTATTCCTGTAGTACATTATTTAACTCTATACCCCTGAATATCAAGCAAGTTGCACATGACATTAATACATTTAAACATAAATTGAGGAAGATGAAGAAAGCAGTCTTCTGGGATTTGGCACCGTGTATATGTGGTGTTAACCCACGTTTCGGAGGAACGCGTCACCTGCATGTTCAGGGTAGAAGGAAAAATATAAGAAATCCGCAGGCGAAGAGACCGTGAGAACTGTATGCTTGTACCGGTTCTCACGGTCTCTTTGCCTGTGGATTTCTTATATTTTTCCTTCTACCCTGAAGATGGAGGCGATACGTTCCTCCAAAACGTCGGTTAACACCACATATACACGGTGCCAAATCCCAGAAGACTGCTTTCTTCATAGTCACCGCCGTGAAAGCCTCAAATCTTTTTATTCTGTTGAAAAGTATCTTGATAGGAATAATAAAGTTGATCTTGGGGTATCCCAGTAATTATAGTTTGCATTCATTAGTTTCTTATATATATTTTAATTTTTAAATGTTAAGACAATCTTATATAATATATCAGTGTAATCTTCTGACAGTTCCTATATCCAGTGGTTATGTACCTGAATGGATTGATGAATGGTAATAAAAAATGAATAAATAAATGACACACTAAGGAAATTACACTAGTAATGGCTCATTTCAAAGAACTTAACATTTCATAAGGAACTTAGGACTGAGATAATTTAGCCTTTTGTATTTGTGTATGAAGTGTAAAGTTTCCTTTAATATCTGGTATTCCCTGGAGATTGTCATGTATGACCCAAATATGACAGGATTTAAACAATACTTAATATAAGAAAATAAACCAAATTTACTTATATGGTGATTTACATTTTCTTTTAACATACATTTTCATAAGCTGAAGATACTTTTCGGTCATTTTCATTTGAATGACTGAGGAAAACCAAAAAGTGTAGAATCTTAAAGTAATTTTGGTAATTCAGTGCAGTTTCAGTGATACAGTTTTCCTTCTAGTCTTAACATTGTTAGTTGATGCAACATTTCCTCTTCTTTTATTTATTTTAAATTTAAAGAATTTAAGAATGGAAATACTGTAGCTGTCTTAATGACTGTGTGAACTATGATAGCTCATTGAGTAAAGTACAGGCTTTTTGATTCCATGTAGGATTGAATAATTTTAAATTTTCGTCCATGTTTTTGTGAAAAATGCCCTTATGCTTGTAATATTTGAAGCTATAAAAACTAGTTTATTAATTACTCATAGCTATTGCATAAGCTTACCAGAGACTACTACTTGAAGCACTTTTTGCTAATCTATGTGAAACTGTTACTGGACTATTAGTAAGGGTACCATCATGGGAACCCTCTATCTTGAAGTTCTTTAATCCAGTGTATTACACACAGCTAGAAATTGAACTTCTTGTAGCTTATATTGTACATTAAACCATCACTTTTGATTGTACAAGGGAGAGTCGGTAAATAGGTCACAAATGGAAGTAAAACGGCTGTAATGGACATAATAGGTTTTCCCCATGTGTCACTAGGTAGCAGCACAGTCCATGTAGCAGACATGCATTCGCATGTTCAGAGGCTGGTGACAGTAGTCAGAATGGTGACTGTGCTTGAAGAGCAGCATTCTGTTGTGAGCGTTTTATGGGCAAAATGACCCTGTACAAAGGATATTCATAAATAAATGTTTTCCTGTTTATGGTGTGAAGTGTTCGTCACATAAAGCGGTTCACATCTGGGTGTCAAACATTTCACTGATGGCGAAAAGGTGCAGAAGTGGTTGTGCCAACAGTGAAAAAACTTCTGTGCTGCGGGTTTCGACCCACTGGTAAAGCAATGGGACAAGTGTATCAGTGTCAAGAAATAAATCTTCTTTCCACATTCATATATAAAATATTTTACATTTTCTATCCATTTATGACCTATTTACTGACTCTCCCTTGTAATAAGTTGTGAAGTTACTACCTTAATTTCTTGTCATTCATATTTTATATAAACCTGATACATGAACTTCTTTAAGTCAGCCAACTTACACAGTTAATTAATTCTAAAGGTTTCTGTGTAAGTCCAGCAGTGCTTAAATATATGTTTACATATATGTTTGTTTTAATGGATAGTTAAGGCTAAAAAATATGTGCAATAAGAATGTATCATATACCATATCATAGTGTATTGTTACATGTTAGCTACTAGACAATGGAATTTGGGTTGGTAATTGGATTTGCTGAACACTTATAACTACAAGTAACTGTAACAGCCTCACTCATACAAAGTAATAATGCATATGCTAAGTGTCGATGTCTTATAGTCTCTTATATGGCGAATGTCTTGCACCTAACCCTTTGCTGCAATTGGTAATTTCTGAGCCAAGACTGGCTGCTGCTGGCTACCACTTGCTATCACTGCCTGCCAACAGCCATGAGCTTTTGGTCTGGTCTACTTATATAGCCTTGGCACAGATCACATATAAAACACTTTCCAACAATGATTTTGATTGTTGCATGTGTATCCATTTTTGCAAAAACATGGATATCTAGCCGTTGCCTCACACTGGACCATGTAATCATGTCACAGTAAACCTTGTATATCCAATACTAATGACTACAATTTGGAGTGCCTAACATGTAAACACAAATTTTACTTGTGTATCCATGTTTCGAGGGATTCCTATAACTCAAACTTATGGAAGTTGGGGGCTTCCTGTATGCTACATAAAATTGTGGTCTTGTCTACTTTTACTGATTATCCCATTCACAGCTACAGTAGAATCTCAGCCATACACCTCTACATTAACTGCTATGTGCCTTAACCTTAGCTGTTTCAGATCCATATAGATTGATTTATTTGTTGCCCATTGCATTTGATTCAGTAATATATATCAGTAATGCTTACAAGGATTTGGAGTAGAATGTACGTCTTCTTATCTTGTTGCAAATTTAAGTTTTATCATTTTCTTGATTTTCCCTCTTCCTCATACCACTGAACAAGGGCTGCTTTTGTCTAGTGGGAACATATTTGTTTCACTGCATAGTGACCAGTAGCATGAGCAGTAAGTGATTTTCAGTTTTTAATATAGTGTAGATACTTTCTATATTGTTGGATTATCTGTTGTTTTATTTATTTACTCTGCATATCCCCTCCAGTGCCACAAATAACTGAGAGTCGGCTGTACTTCTTCAACTACTTGTAGCCAGTATCTTGTTATGCAGCTACTTCTAATTTTAATATTAGGTGAAACTACCATTTAAGTTACATGTGTGTGCGCAACATTGTATATTGGCCCAGTGCTTGAACCACTACAAGTCAACAGTTGGTATGAAATTATTGCTTAAAATAATGTAACTAATCTTGTTCTAATACTTGAACTACTTAACTGATATTGAACATGGCATTGAACTATTGTCAGTGTCCTTTACACAACTGCTGCTTATGATTACTGCTTATAAGATGAAACTGTTTATGGTTCCATTTTTGCATAATGTTGACACTAGCACCTTTATGATGCTCTAGAATTTTCCTTGCGTGAGGTTTTTTGCGTTGTGACTTTGTTCATCTGTGTGTGAAATGACTGACATCGCATGTCATGATTGTAGGGTTTCAGCCACAGCGAACAGAAGTCTGCCAGACATTCCAGTTGACTCACAAAGGATCCGACTGGAGAGTGGTGACACCGTGTGGGAGAACAGTGAACCAAATGGCGACACTAACTCTGAATTGTATGCCACTGTTGAAGAGAACAAGAATGTTTCACAACTTTTAGGTTAGTGTCATAGTAGGATTGTTACTTTAATTTATTGAGTACTCTTGTATTTCAAATTTCTTAAATTTTACCTTTTTGCATTTTAATTCTATACTGATATATTTGGACCCTTTTATTAGGATTCTCATCAAAGATCACAGCACAATGGTTAATGCTGTAGGAAGTCCATAACTCAGATTTCAGCTTGGAGGTGTCTTGCCTGATTCCTTATGTTTCTCTGTGTCCCTTTAAAAAAACCCCTGAGTTAATATTCCAAAATATGCTTCAGTCACTTCCACATGTTTTTCAATTCAATGTATTATGATGGTATATATATATAAATTGTATATAACTTACGCACTTGATAAAGTATCATTACAAAGTAAAAGTAGGTATCTCAAGCAATAATACTTATGATTTGTATTCTTGAGATGCCAGGTTTGAATTATGCCTGTGACACTGACTATTCTGACTAGGATTTTTGTGGATTTCCTCGGTCCCCCATGCAAATTGTGGATAGTATCTTAAAATTAAGCCACAATCACTTCCATATTCTTTTCGGTTCTCTATACACTATCATCCGGTCATTTTACACTGTACAGTCAAAGTTACAGAAAATGTTTTGAAATAAACTACAAATAAATAAATAAATATTGTCATGATTTATGGGTGTGACTCTGGACAGGTTATGGATTGATGAATGGATTTATTGACCACTTATGCACACCACTCAGAACTATGAACAGTTACAGCACTATCACAAATCACCACAGCACCTGCTAAACCATTTTCCAGCTTGATATGCCTTTATCATCGGTTCCCTGGCAGCAGCTTCTAACAGTGGAGATTCTTCAGCTTCACACACTCAGTTTCTGTCTTCACAACCTCCAGTACAGAACTGCCTACTCAGCTGAACTATAGTGCCATCTCTTCTCAGCCTCCGTTTCAAAACTCCGCTGTCAACTAACTACTAACAACTAACACCCAGGTTGGCAGCCATTTCACACCAACCTCCTAGTCTGCTCTTCACAGGCTGGCTTTCAACTGACAGCTCACTGGGATCACTCCAGATATCGCTGCACCACATCACACACAAAGTCTTCTAATTCACAGGCCGCCGACTTCTAGTTCTTCTTCTACTACGAACTTCCCTTGGCTGTCTCCTACTGAGAACTGTCTAACTGACCTCTGAGACCTCACTCCAACAACTGACTTGAGCACTGCACATACAACACTCAAATACTGTCATGTGTTCTGTCTCTGTCGTAATATAGCCTACATGCCAACCATGCACAGAAAAAAGCCTATATTGTTGAAGAGAAGTGTTTACCGCAATGTTACATAACAGCAAGTGCGGTGCGGCCACTTTGTCCACCACAAATCCCACTTGACCAGACCCGGGATCAAACCTGGGCCACTGCAGTGGGAAGCCAGCGATTAACCGCTTGAGCTATGGCTTGGCCCAATAGATGCTGTGATAGTATCTTGATTAGGCCATGACTGCTCTCTTCCAAATCCTTTCCAATTCATATATCGTCATTTCAGTCACTACTGACAGTTCTAAAGTAACCCACAAAATTAAACCACAAGATCACAACTGAGAATTAGTTTTTCTAAGTTATATATATATATATATATGTGTGTGTGTGTGTGTGTGTGTGTGTATTGCAGTCCATACACTGAAGAATGTTCTTTTTGCTTTGAATATAGTGCTCTTGATTTCAGCAACAAGAACAGCCTCTGGAGCCAACAAAAAGCGCTCCCTGCAGGACGAGAGCAAGAGCAGTGAGCACAGTTCATTGAGTCAGACAGATGACAGCTTTTCTCCATATGCACGTCTCAGTGCGGAGCATCCATATGACAGACTACGGAGTAAGTGTTAGCTGACATGGTTCACGCTTCCCATAACATTAGCCGAACATGACACACTATGCATTTTACAATAAACATAAGATTATACCAGACTCCCTACAGGTAGGTTCTCTGTCGAAGTTGTATGAAACTACAGTATGAAAGAATTCTCAGGTGTAAATGTTGGTTCATACATTATATGAATAAAAACTTATGTTTACTTAATATCATTGGCTAAATTAGAAAAACATCATAGTGATTTATATATGATGTTATTGAAGGAGCAGGAATTAATAATTTCATCAGATTAATTTCCCAAATAATACTTTAACTCTTATCACTCTCAAGCCATACTGCAGAACTACCTTCTTGGAATATCAAAGCTGCTTTTATTGACAGAAATGCTCTATTTAACAGTAAGTCAATCTTAATATGCAGTGCTAGCCACTGTGGAAGTACAAGGATTCTTGTGAGCTGTCACCAGTGTGTTAACGTCCTATCTCCTTCATGATCTTCCTAGTAGGCAGCCCCCAGGAGGATTTCTCATCAAAATTCTGTAAACATTTCTTGTCTCAACATCCTTAACTACATACTCAGCTCATCATGGTCTCTTTGATTTCACTACTTACTTATTGATTGATGCTTTCAGTAGCCTGGACTGTGTAGCATCAGATGAGTAATGAGTAATGAATTACAAGAGATGTGGAAGGAAGTGGGCATGGCCTGTTTGAAGGAACTCTTCTGCCATTTGCCTGGAGAGACTAAGAAAGACCACAAAAAACCTCAGAATAGTTTGTGTTATGGCTAGAATTTGAACCTGGCACATTATGAGTGTGTCAGCACTATTACTGCCTGAACCAGCTTTCCCTGGTGATTTCACAATTGTGACAGTATGGGGGGAGCTGTATAAACCACAGAATTCCTGATTACATGTGCCTGAAGTTAACTGTGTTATAATGTGTTGTGTGTGTTATTCAGGTGAGCACCCATATGCCCAGGTTGGAGTGAATAATGAGCTGGACAGGGCCATGTATGACTTAACACATGGATATGGAAATCATCGAGCTTCTGTGCAGTAAGTAAAACGTTACTTCTAACACAATAGGATGAATACAGCGAATATACTGGCACTTACTTATTTTTGACACTGATAGTAAAATATCATCTCTAAATATTGTGGTATATTTGGACAAGCCAAGAACTGTGAAGCCAGTAGAGACAGCCATTGCTAGGGAACAGCTCTGCAAATGCGCACACTGATAGGCAACAGCTTCGTAACATGTAACAATATAGGAACTTGGAAGTGGTGTTCTCTGTGCAGTTCATACCGATAGCTACATGACGCAACAGTAGAAGGACTGATGGCAGAGGTTTTTTCAACACGGTCTATGCCCTGGCTATACAACAAAGATGAGTTGGCAAACTAAGTAGTCTAGAGTCAGTCAGTAAGTTGAGAGAGTGGGTGTGCAGTTGAGAGACAGTCAGATAAGTGTTGCAATAGCTGAGGCTGGAAACAGTTCAGGAACCCAGAGGAAGGGGAATGTCCACTGTTCGAAGCCGCTACCAAGCGGCACAGTGAAGACTGACTAGTGATTTGTAAAGTGTAGCCACGAGTTGGGCATTAAAGTATCCAGTAAATCTGATTACCAGTCCAAACCCCAGTAAGTCTGATTAACAATCGAAATCTCATCTGTACTCACACTCCACGTGAATATATGTTAAATAAATAGGAACTTGTAAGATTTGAGGCTTTCACGGCGGTGACTATGAAGAAAGCAGCCTCCTGGGATTTGGCACCGTGTATATGTGGTGTTAACCGACGTTTCGGAGGAATGTATCGCCTCCATCTTCAGGGTAGAAGGAAAAAATATAAGAAATCCGTAAGGGAAGAAACCGTGAGAACCGGTAAAAGCAGAATAGGAACTTAGTTAGCATCCATATCTCACCTTGTTTGTTTCAGTAAGTTCTACTTATCTCCATAGATCCAAAATTCACACAAAATTCCTCTTTCTCCAGTTGGGCAATGGAGCCACACTTTATCATCCTTGTGGCAGCCCATGCAGTTGACCAGTTGTCATAACTTATCACCAGATCACTGGCTAGCTTCTGGTGTTGGCGGGCATAATTGTGGATGTCATGTAGATGGTCCATGAAATTTGCCACATGATCATTTGTGGGTCGTTCCTTGTTAAGGGCTTCCCCAGACAGTTTGTCACAAGGCTGTTGGAGTTCTCTTCTAAACACTAGGCTAGTTGGGGTCAAGCCCATAGTGTCATGAGTGGATGCACTATTAGGAAGGAGAAAGATGGGTAATCTTGCATCACAATCCCACTGATGCAAAGAAACAGGTAAGGAATCAGTGCAGAGTAATAGTTTTGAGGTGCTTCTCATTGCTGCTGCATTAACTCCCACACAAAGTATTTCAAATATTTTACTATATCCTACAGTAGAGTTTTCTGTGATTGCAAGTAGATGAAGAAAAACCAGAGCTTTTAATTTGCACAAGTGAATATGTGTTTGTATGTACACAGGAGTGAAGATTTGCAGTCATTGCGTCCCAGTACAAGTGGTGACACCATTCCAAGGCCTTTATCTAGTCAGCAAGCTGGAACCTCCATCAATCCTGTGCCTCCCCCAAGGACAAGAAAGTCCTCTTCCCACAATTCTCTTCTGTTGGCCCAAACCGCAACATTGCTGCCAGGTTCAGTGCCTGACATCCAAGCAGCAACAGCTATAGCAGGTCAGATATCTGCCAACCAGGAATTGCCGTATATGACTCCTCCAGTCCCCACTCCAGAGATGAACCCACCACAGCAACAACAAGTGAATTTCAGCGGTGATTCTCAGGATTCCAGTGAGTTCTTGGCTAACTACTGAATTCCAATGTGTTATGTTGTCTGAAAATTTATTACCGTTACCCTCACCATCACCATCACCATCACCATCACCATATGCAGGAGGTGAACAAAATAATGGAAACACAAGAAAATTGAGGAATAGAATTTGTGTTAGATTTGAGGCTTTCACGGCGGTGACTATGAAGAAAGCAGTCTTCTGGGATTTGGCACCGTGTATATGTGGTGTTAACCGACGTTTCGGAGGAACGTATCGCCTCCATCTTCAGGGTAGAAGAAAAAATATAAGAATTCTGCAAGCGAAGAGACCGTGAGAACCGGTAAAAGCACTGCAGAAGTGTAGACTGCAATGTCAACTGAAGTATAACTACTTCTCACTGCTACCTGGCACTCTTATCCATAACTCGTGGTAACAGTGACTTCTATATTAAGGCAGAATGAAGGCCAAGTTGCAAGCCTTATACTTTTATAGATGCAGTCATTCCCCACTAATCGACAGTTTGATCCATCAGCACTCCCACAATATGCGCAAATGCCCAAACAATTGTCATTCCTCGTTTCTGCACTGGCAGTGTTTATAAGCTCAGTCATGTGAGCTAGTTGTTTGGGTAGTATGGAAGTGCAATCTTACCAGGGTTCACTGTTTTTCAGTCATATTTTGCAACTTTTTTAAAAAAGTAGTGAAAGTATGGGTCATACAATGAAAAGCAAAGCAGATATTAAAATAGGTTTGTTAACCAACAAAATGCTAATGGATGACACTTCATGGACCCAATTAACATTGATGAATGAGTGATAACTATGGATACTACACAGTATAAACTTGGGCCTGACTGTGCTGGTTGCAGCTTGTATAAGCCTTGGAGTGATGTACTCCATAATGTAGTGTACAAAATTACTAGCAGAGTTCTTTGAAGTGTATTAGACTTAACTTAAAATGGGACAGTGAAATGCAGATTAGTTAAGGGTGCCAGTGTGAGACTTCAGCAGAGTCTGTGGACAGGTTTATGGGATGCATGGAAAAGTCCATTTGCAGCCTTATGGAAACGGCTTTATTATGGATTGATATGGCTGAAAATTTTAATTGCCCAACAATGTTTGTTGGAAGTCTTCTATACTGAATTTCAGCAAACTGTGTGAAGCAGTTATTGGGGTACAAGAAAGAATTAATTTATGTTCTCACATAATCTAGGTTCTATTATGAGTCAGTAATTCTGAAAATCTCTGATATTGAATTTTAATACAATCTGTAAGATGATTGAGCTCCTGATAATTGGTCACAGACAAAGAGACAAACAGATGCAACCTCTACATAAGGCATTCTTTTTTACTTTTTATAGAATTGTCGCAAAGTCCTGCAGTTAACAGTACAAGTAATTGTCATTGCAGGACAAGATACTAAAAAGTATTTTGTGAATCAAATGGAAATTATTTGGAAATAATCATGAAATTTTCTTTATTTATCAGTTAATTCAACTCATTTTTGTGACTGTATTCTCCTTAATACTTTCTTTGCTTGTACTCCCAAGTTCTATTCTTCCCCTGTTGAGAATGTGTTAACAGTTGTTGTACAATTACAAGCTTACATTTTGCATTGTCTGTGTTGTTTATTGTAGAGGGCTATACAAGCATCAGTGTGAGAGAACCACTTGCAAATATAAAAGCACAAACCAGAATGGTCAGTCAGAGGAGCAGAACCCAGGAGCTGGTGGATTCTCATTATGCCACTGTGTCCGATGATTCAGGTGAGGATGAGGATAAAGGATGTGAGCTAATTTTTATATTCTATATGCCAGATAATTAGGAAGTGTTAGTTAACAGATATTTAAGATCAGTCGACTTGCACTGTTATATACAAGGGAAGTTCAACAAAGTGAGATTGGCAAAACTGCTCATCTTCAGTGGCCTTGATCAAAGTGAAGCATGTGCTGTCTTACTTCCTCAGCTGTGTTTAACTCCTGCCGCAAAGATCATCATTTGTGTTCGTACAAGCTCTTCTAAAAAAACGGTGGTGGAGCAGAATGGTATATTTTTTAAGGCAGAGATGTGTGAAGAGATGTTACAGAATGCATATGAAACAGAAGCAGTGAGCCAAGCTGCAGTGTGTAGTTGATGGAAGCATTTTAAAGGTTGAAAATAAGAAGGTGGATGATGACACTCAAAATGGAGACCAGTCACTGCTGTTACAGATGTGAATATTGATAATGCTGAACAGTTGTTAAAGGAGGACAGGAGAGTGTCATTAAGGGCATTGTCTGACAGTTTAAATGTATCATTGGAAAATGTTCATCACATCATTACAGTTGAATTAGACATGAATCGAATGTGCACAATGTGGGTTCCTCATGGCCTCACTGATGAGCAGAAAAGAAAGTGTGTGGATGTCTGCCAATGAAATATTACCCTTGTTGAACAAAATCCTGATATTTATTGTCCATAATCATCTTTGTAATTCTTGGATAAGACATTATGACCTGAAATTGAAACAGCAGTCAAGTCTTTGGAAACAGAAAGATTCACCACTACCTTATTCAGGTTGTCTGGGAAAGGTGTACTGCACATGACTGAGAAGTAGGTGGAACAGTGCAAAAAATGTATAGTATATGAAGGGTGTTACTTAAAAAAACACTGCCCAAACCTCAGCATCCTCAGATAGTGAGAAGTGTGAATATTCTCATTACTTTTCAGACTCCACTTGTGCAGGCTATATGTCGAGATGTGAGCTAAGAGGAGTGTGTTTTTTTAACTTTATGCCCTTGTTGCACCAACTTTTAGAGCAAAACAGTTCATTTAGTGGCTTGGCAGGCATTTAAAAACCCCTGACGACCTGGTTGCCGATATTTTTCTAATCGCAACGACCGGAAAGGGTTAAATAAGCATAAATGTACTTCATGTTGCTATGGGATGATTATGCAGGCTCAGAGTCCTTAAGTAATGATGAACCAGTTGTCGTTGTACACTCCTTATAACATTCCACTACCCAGATATAAATAAAGAGTATCATTGAATAAATCCTGCTGTAATTGTAAATATGACATCTGTGGATAAAATATAACAAAAGTGAGACCCATATATTTGTCCAGCATTCGCACTCTCTGTCTTAATATTGTCATTTCTGTCACTTCTGCTATCATAGATGCTGTCATGCATAAGGTATGGACAATCAGTTGAGTTTCTCTGCATGATGAAGATCATTGCACATGGTAGTGGGTTACTGTTTACGTTTAATTACTGTATAGTGGGTATTGTGTCGAGGAAAGGAACCTTATTCTGAGTGAAGAATGGACCTTCTTCTCTTTCATAAAAGAGTAAGGATTCACAGAGACGGTGCTAGATGGATACTGCAGTGGACTTTTTGTAAATGTGATCTTCAGTGAAGAAATAGTAGCACTCATGTTGGGGGATGACAGGAGTTGAGTTTTGAGTTGTGTGGTTTCCAGATGAGATGTATGCTGCAATAGATGATCCAGGGCAGGTGTACACGAGCGGAAGTGAAACATATGCACAAATACAACCTCTGGCAATATTGGAAGTAACTCCTGAAGCAAGTGCTGACAGCTCACACTATCCTCCACAGCCTCCAAGTGTTGACAGTTTGAAACATGTTGCCCAGGTTCATTCTCGTCAAGGTCAGTAGAGTCTGCAGTTTGTTTATGAGTGTCATATTTTGTGAATGAATGTGAATTAATTAATTATGGTCATGGGAGTTGAAGTACTGATGGCAGTAGGTATTAGGATTATGGTCTTCTGAACTGTAATGTCATGCAGTCTGATAGATACTAACATTTTGAAAGGATCCTCATGACTCCAACTTCAGGGTGGAACTTCCTCCAAAATCTTGATACCTATCTGCCAAACAACACTGCATCATGTCTCAGAAGATGGTAATCTTAACTAACTTTATGGTGCAGAATCTTGTTTCAAAAGTTGGTAGTGACTTCACCTGTCAAGAAATTAATTAACAAATTGGAGGTTCATTACTCTTCACGAAAGCCCTGTATTGAAACGTATCCTTAGCAGCCACTTCATTATACTCCCACCTTCAGTCCTGTTTCTGATTCATCCAGTTTGATCTTCTATATTTACCTACAGCTGTGATATGGCCTCTTCCCTGAAGTTCCCTAATCAGAATTTTATGTACATTTCTCATTTTTGCATGTTGCCACATGGTCTCACCATTTAACGTTTGACAGTATTAAGTGAATGGCACAAATTATGAAGTTCTTCATTATGAGCTTTATCCATGTCTATGGTTCCAGTTTTATGGAACTGTATTAATTTCCAAAACTTGGCTATCAGGAATCAGGACAAGTTTTCAGACTTTCTGGTCACATATATTGCTTGGGGGTGTTACAAAGGGGAAAAAAAATTGAAGATAGAAAATAGGTATTTTTATCATTTTCAAATAAATTTTCCAGGCATTGCTTGATTGTGGTATGAGTTTGTCACAGCAGTGAAGGTTTTGTTTGTCATTCTCTAGGTTATGACACCATGTAGCCTGATACATGGTTATCAGCATTTTGGAGGGACAAGCTTCCTCTGCCTTTGGAATAGTAGCCTGAAGATGGAGACAGTATGTTCATCTGAAACATTGGTATCCACTTACCAGACTACATGGTGTCATAACCTAGATATGTTGTTTAAAAGAAATTTACTTGAATACATTTTGAAGTAAGTAATAAGCAAAATGCACTTTATTGTGTGTGTATGCATATATATAGCCCTACCAATTTAATTTCTGTTTATAGAAAGCACAGCACAAAGAGACTCTGGTAATGTATCATAAAGGTTCAACAGCACTGCTATTAAAGCCTGCCATTAGATAGAATATTCAGTGCGTTGAATTCAGGATTAGTCTTCTGGGCGATGTCATAGAATCTGGTAGAAACATATGGATGTTTTGGAGGAATATGCTACTTCCACTTTTAGAGTTGAAGATGGAAGCATGTTCATTTGAAACATTGGTACCTTTCCAGCAGACTACTTGGCATCACACCTCAAAAGGCCACTAATCTTCATATTCACTGATGTGAGAACCTCAAATCTCACACAGTTGAATCCAGTTTATATCATCACAACTTAATTGCTTATGATGCAAGTTAATATTTTTCAGGCCTGCTTTGTCTTTGTAATGGTTACTTTCCAGAAGATTACTCTGTCACATTTTGTATGCATTGCTCTGTTTCTCATTCGTGCTATATGTCTCATGGTTTGCAGCCTCATCATCCAGTGCTGCTAGTTCTGTTGCAAACCTTGGGTCCCCAAAACCCGAGAAACGACAGGCCAACTCCCCTCTGCCTCCACCTCCTGCTGGCAGCCCTGATCTGTATGCTGCTGTGGATAAAAAGAGCACAGGTCTGGCTGTGAGTCGCAACCTTGAGGAAATGTATGCAAAGGTGATGAAGAAGAAGCAGCGGGGTGTTGGGCCAGACATGGATCAAGGACAGCAACCAGGACCAGACAGACTGGAGCATACAGACAATGTGAGCCATGCTTCCATCGACACAACCTCAAGTCAGGGATCCCCAGAGCTACAAACTCAACAAGAAGCAGACAGAATCTCTGCATGCAGCTCAGATCATGATTCTGCTGTTGGTTCTGCCACTAATGTGGTTGACCCAGGGTATGAGATGCTGCACAGTTCACCATCTCATCAGTTTCTAAATCCAACTAATACTCTAGAACCAAGTTATGAGAGCCTTGGTGGACCTAGCAGCACTGATACTTCTTACCATGACCCAGGTTATGAAATGGTGCAGCGACATCTCTCAGATAGTGATCCCAATTATGAGGAACTCCGACCTCAATCCAGGGATCCTTCAGTTACAAACTCAAGGGTGAATTTTGTCCATACTGAACAGTGTGGCAGTGAGAGTCATCCTGAGAATGGCAGGAATGAAGCACCAGGTAGGTTAAATATTGATGTAGGATATGAGCAGGTGGGGTCGCAAGCAGTACAAGTGGAATTAGGACCCAAATCTTATGATAGGCTTGACCCAGGGTGTATGGAGTTCAGGTCTGGATCAGTACAGGATATCCATTTGTACAGAGAATCAGGGCCCCATTCTTTTGATAGGTTGGACCCAGGGTATGAGCAAGTGAGGTCTGTTATGCAGGAAGTGAGGTATGTAAGTGTAAATAACAACTGTGGCTCTCTGAGTGAAGGAACAGACACATACTATGCATGTGTAGCTAAGGGCAGTAGTGTACCATCATATGAGCAGGTTAGATCTCATAGTGGAAGGGACATGGAAAATCATGCCACAAACCTACACAGTGTCAGCAGCGAAGAGCATGACCCTGGCTATGAAGAAGTCAAATGCAATGGAGCCAAGAGGAGCAATGACAAGAAAATGGTTGGTGCACAATCTGGCTATGAGAGATTGCACTCGAAAGGGTCAAGTGATGCTGAAACATGCAGTGGGCCAGAGCCTGACTATGCATGTGTTGACAGGAACAGAGATCCATCTGATGATACAGGAGAACCAAATTATGAAAGCATGTCAAGTGAAGGACAGGATGTGGTGTCTCTCATGACAGATGATCCAAACTATGAGAGTGTCAGTTACTTTGATTTGCCATGTGACCCACCATATGAGAGGTTACACAATGAAACAAGAGACTCAGATGGTACCTCATCAGGATATGAGAAGGTTAATGATTGCAATGACTTTTCTGTTGCTGGTGCAGATGTGAAGCAGCTAACATGCAGTCATCTGGAGCCAGGTTATGAGGAAGTGGGAATGAGATGGGACACTGTTAATGGTGACTGCAGTGCTCATTGCATCGAGTCTCCTACATCAGAGAGGTCTTGTCGCCTGAATGAAGACAGTGAAAACTTGTGCCAACTCCAGGCCCAGACCAGCCCCACAAGAATGTAGCATTTAGTAAACACTAAACTAACCATAAGTTGGAACACCCTTATAGACAACATTTTCTAATATAAATAGCTGTGAATATTGTGAAATATTAGATTCTTATGGCAGTAACTTATAGATAAATGTCTTGTGGGATGTGATGCTATGTATTTTCTAGATCATTACCAATGTTTTTGGATGAAACTGTAGCCTCTATCTTCGGAGTAGAAAATGGAGGCAACAGCTTCTCCAAAATGTTGGTAAAAATCTACCAGATAATATATCATCATATCCCATAAGACAGTAATTTTCAATGCCTTATTGCATTTAATGATCACGTTATGTTTGTCTAGGAAACTGAAATTAACAGCCATGGGGATCCGTTGCGCTGACCACGTGACACCCTCTATCTGCTAAAGTTGGCACTAACTTCGCCAACAAGCATCGGTCGCTCAGTTGGTATAGTTCACTTGCGGACTAAAGCCACAGAGCTTTTTTTTTGTGTGTTTTTAAGGAATAAGATAATTTCTCATCTATCCATAATGTAGCTTATACTAATCAGTTTTCTGTACAGTTTTATAGTATTGTATAGAGTGATGTTTACATAGAAGTTGTGGCATTATCTTCAGTTGTAAGGGTATGAAAGTGCCTGAAAGAACGGTACCCCCAAATGTTCAGTGCATCACATGAAGGGTGGCTCAGAATATAATGGAATGGTAAATGTTATCTATGGATGGAGAATTATATCAGGTGGTGGACCATATTATCCCTACCAAACTTGCTGTGGACTAGATTTGGAAGTAGGTGGTGATGTAACCATTTCTGCTCACCATTTTCTATTTAGTGCCAGGCAGCCAGCTCAAGTTATCCTCCCCCCCAATGAATTAATATCTGTTACTATATTGTGGGGTATATAAGCCACATTTTGTTTCCATCCCTGCATCCCCTGTTTGCTAGGGTACATCTTTTGTTAAATATGTTTGTCAGGTAATCAGTATATATTGCAGTTGATTTGTAAGTGTTTAAACATGGTAGAGTCAAATTGTCCCTGTGCACATTTAATTTAGCACCACACCATGAAAATTTATGGGTTAGTGGAGGTACAGCTCCAGCATTGTTGACCTTGGCACTAGATGCAAGTAAGTGAACAGCTTCACACCCCAGCCACTTTAACCATAGGGGAAAAGCCCCCAGTACCCACTGGACAGTAAAAAGTAAAAAAAAAAGTAAAGCTATCCCCGTACCAGGCCCTGAAGGCCCATAGGATTGTGAGACCTTGAGGGTCCCACATTGTCTAGACAGTCGGCTCAAAGATGGCGGTAAGGTTGTCAGCCCTACGCGCCGACCGCGCTTACTCTCCAGGAAAATTATTTAATTAATTCCTGAACTCATTTCTGTTAGAGGCTGAGTAAACCCCAGGGCCTAGTGCAGCTGGAAGGATTAGGTTAACTGAAAAAAATCCATTGACCTCATCAGGACTTGAACCCGCGACCTTCTGGCTTGTAGCATAGCTCCTCAACCACTACGCTACCGCGTGCCCCCTACCCACTGGACAGTAGGCTGGGTAAACCCCAAAGCTAATCAGGAACGCTGTGGAGTAGAAAAAAGTGTTTGAACATAGTTTTCCATTTAGAGTCAGTGCAAGTTTAACAATAATAAATATGTAAACATTTGTAAGATTTAAGGTTTTCATGGCGGTAACTATGAAGAATGTTAACAAAATATCTGCACAGCATCTCATCCCAAACGACAGCATTCTTCGTGTAAACATTTGTTTCACAAAAGAATGGATGAACGAAATTTCCTGAAATAGTGAGATTTAAATGACTGGAATTCTGTACTACAGTAGTTCTGTTTTTACTATAGGATTCTGACGATGCTGTATAACACACTGATATGTTGGGTTTTTGGACTTTATCCATCGTCCTGGTTTTTAAGATAACAAATAAAAACACGACGTTTCGGAAACTGGATCTGTTTTCGTCCTCAGGTGAAGNTTAATTCATGTTTAGTGAAATTTTAGTTATTATTTCATTGATCATCGATGTTTCAGTAGTGGAGCCAGTTATTGCCCTTGAATAGAAACTGGTAGAGGGGTGTGAGAATGGAAACTTTTTAATGAAATGCAAAGTCAGTGCACTAAATCTGAGGTGGGTGAATTATATGCCTGCTTGAACAAGTCAGAGCCATAAAGATTGTTGTACTCTGTGTTATCTCGTTATCCTAGGCCTAACAAACATGAGCAGTACATGTGATTACAGAATTTTTTAACAGATTTATTCTCACACAACAGTAAAGTGACTGTCATGACTGAACTAAGCATGGGTTTTGACCAGTGTGAGAGACTGCAAAAGACTGGTGGGCAGTGTGTGCCAGTACATGCAGTGTGTTTGATTGTCTTGAAATTGTTACAACCAGTGTCTCCTGAACAGTGCAGTCTTCTGGATTTATAACACCATATAGTTTGGTGGAAATCTACTGACCTTTCAGAGGACTGTATCACCTCTATCTTAAGTGTCAGAGAGTAACCCAGGCAAGAAACCAGCAACTAACAGGTAACAACCTGTTGTTTCTTGCCTTACTCTTTGACTCAGCAGCCTCCATAGTCTAGAGGTAATGTTCCCACCTCATGACTCATAGTACGCGGGTTCAAATACCCGGCGGAGTTCGTTGAATTTTTAAGGGCAGAAAAATTCAGGGAATAAGTCCTCCGGGAGGGACTTTAAGCCGTGGGTCCCTTGTCGTAGCTTTATGGCACGTAAAAGAACCTCATATCTCCAAAGGAGGTCACTGAGCCAAATTTGGACGTTTCCCGCCCAACAGCAGTCTCTAATACCTCTGGTAGATGGGGGAAGCATTATAGATACCTCTTAGCTAGTAGAGCCGGTCTCGCTGGCTGGGTGGGCCTGATGGTAAGCACCAGTACCGGTCGGATATAGAGACTGGTAGAAATCATAGAGGGAAGCACAATGGACCAATACAGGTCTAAGTGCATGGGGAAACCCACCCTCTCCAATAACTAACTAACTAACTAACTACTCTTTGACTCTGAAGGTTGAGGTGATTAACCCCCCCTAAAATGTAATTGAACTTCAACAGAACCATATGGTGTTAAACGTACTAGATCATACTCCAGTTAGTCATTTGTATGACAAATGCAGATACATCAGCATCTTTTGAACTTAAACATGTTCACTGTTCAAATGTCACTTGTACTTGAGGGAAAATTAATTTCAAAATCTTTATGCAAGTTATAAATGAGGTTCTGTTAACTTTTCAGGTGCATTCTCATCCCTGCAGAGTGCCTGTTAAAAATCATTCCATCCATATTCATGAAAAACTAAAGAATTGAACAGGTTTTTATTGAATTTTATATTGGGGAGTATTATTTAAATTTTTCAGCACATTCCAATTTTGATTCAAATCTGAGAGATATAATGGACACTCTATGTGAGGACCTGCGTTTATTTTTGCAGGCATATTTAGCATAATTTTGATAATTATTTATTGGAGTGAAGAATGTTTAAAATAAAAATGCAGACCAAACTGAAACACACTGTATGCCCAGTAGAGTTTTTCTGTAAGTCTTATGGTTTTAGAAGTCAATAAAAGGCCTCAGCATTGTTATACTAGGCATACATCTCTGAACTTAACAATACAATTGTCATCTTTCTGGACATTATCCATTATCCTGACTACACTCTGCCTTCATCCTCAGGCATGAAGCCTGCTCAGTTGAACCTAATTGATAGAGCTAGGCTCTACCTTTGTACAGTAGAGCCAACACAAGGCAGGAAATATAAACTAAACACAACATTAACCTTTAATGTTACAAAGTGCCCTGATCAGTATACTGCTGAGTATGGTCGTCATAGCCAAATTACCCCAGTTTGTGCATTCAGGTATTTAAACATGCTAGTGGAAGCTGGTGCACATGCTGCTAGTAGAAGTGTACAAGGTGTGGCAATAAAGAAACCGGATTCATGCTCTAACCCTTTATTAAAAAAAAATCAGACAGTCGAAATGTTATCCCCTTCAATGTAGTCCCCTCCCCGATCCCTACACCGCTCCATGCGAATTTTCCACTGTTGGAAGCAGTGCTGCAGGTCATCTTGTGTTATGCTCTTCAAGAGTTGCGTCGCTTTTGCTTTCACTGCATCCACGGACTCGAACCTGGTCCCTTTCAGCGCAGACTTGATTTTTGGGAAGAGAAAAAAGTCGCACGGTGCTAGGTCCGGAGAATACGGTGGATGTTCCATCACTGGAATGTTGTTTTTTGCCAAATACCTCTTCACAGATAGCGCGTTGTGTGCTGGCGCGTTGTCGTGATGAAGAACCCATGAGGCATTCTTCCACATGTCTGGTCTCCTTCGTCGCACACGTTCACGGAGGTACGTCAAAACATTTTTATAATAAACCTGATTGACAGTCTGACCTTCAGGCACCCAATCAATGTAGATTACCCCCCGGATATCGAAAAAAACAATCATCATTGCTTTGAATTTGGACTTGCTCATGCGCGCTTTCTTCTTCCTAGGGGATTTGGGGCTCTTCCAATGCATGGATTGTCGCTTAGTCTCTGGATCATATTGAAGAATCCAAGTTTCGTCACACGTAATTACGTTTTGGAAGAAATCAGGATCATTTTCAATGTTTTCAAGAGTGTCAACACAGCAATTCACTCGATGTTCCTTTTGCTGGGGGGTAAGGATTTTTGGCACCACTTTAGCACACACCTTTTTCATGCCCAGATCGTCGTGCAAAATCTGTCTAACACTTTCCTTATTGATGTTCGTAAGTTCAGAAATTGCTCGAATGCTCAGTCGACGATCTCTTCGAACAATTCTAGCGACCTTCTCCACATTCTCTGGAGTTTTCGCAGTGGGAGGACGGCCCGATTTTGGATCGTTCCCGACGTTTTTCCTACCCTCCATAAACTTCTTAAACCACTCGAAAACTTGCGTGCGAGATAGACACTGATCACCATATACTTCTGTCAACAAATTGTAAGTTTCAGTGGCAGATTTTCCAAGTTTTGTGAGGAATTTGATGTTAGCACGTTGTTCTGCATTAGCACTCAGCATTATTCCGACGGAGCTCAGAAACACGATCCGCTTCTAACAATGGTCGCGGCCAGACTAACCGATGCACGTGAATGAAACTTTGTGTGACGGTAGAGGGAAGTCCAAGGGTCAATGCCCTACCCTCCTCTTCGTCAATGACGTGGCCGGAAATGAGTCATAAAAGTAATCCGGGTTCTTTATTGCCACACCTTGTATGCACAATCCTAAATATTTATTTTTAAATATAGTAAAATTCAACATATGCACATTTTTTTGTTATCTTCCCAATGTATATACAGGCTTCAACTCCCATGTCATGTAACTGAATCTCGCCTTTGTGTAATACTCCTTGAAGCAACCAAGAAAGCACACTGCCTTTCAGTTTCATCATCTTCCAAACGTCTCATTGCCATTGTATGATAAAATGAAACTACATAATTCAAATTCACTATGAACTCACAGAAAACCGAATGCACTCTGTATCTTAACTGTGGTGCAGCATTTGGATGCAACCATAAAAAGGGCAATATTCTCTTGCAGCTGCAAAGGCAGGGCTTGGCACTGAAGCAGGGAACCATGAGTATTTCCTGTAGCCTTTTTTGAAAGGCAGTGTTTTTACTTTTCTATCCTTTAGTCAAAGGCTGAATATCTGAAGAGTGCAACAAAGATGTGAAACTTACCAGCAGAGAACCAAATTACTTTATTGCTTCCAACTCTTTTATGGCACCAGAAAGTGTGAAAATATTTCAAGTGTTACAAGCAGGAGTGATTTTATAATGCATAACTACTATGTGAAGAAGTGGGAAACTATTTTTACAGTATGCAACAAAATTACAAGAAAAAAATTAAGAATAGTTTATAACTTTCTTCTACACATTTTCAAATCTTACGTTGTAGTATGTGAGTGACACTGTGTTCTTCGCTGATAAAAACAAAGTCAGTTCCATTCATTTATCATAAAAATTGTATTAGATACAGCATTTTCAAATACAGTGCAAGTGCCCTAACAGAAATGGACATTTAAACACAGAGCAACAACAGGCATTTAAACTCTGGCCAGCTCAAGCTATCACCATTTCAAAAGGCCAGCATGTAAAGGTTAACAGTGCAGGAGTTAAGGCAAAAATTTAAAACGCCACGTACATGAGGCCTTGCACATATGGCATAATATAATATAAAGGCCACAGTCCATATAGCCAGAGACTGAATAAAATAGAAGCTAATTTAGAGTAAAATGCTAAGGACAATTATAGATAGTGTAAAATCAATGCTAGTACATAATCCGTTAACCTTTTTAAATCACAGATAAGACAAAGACATACACATGTAGATCCAGTGAATACGGGGGATTGAGATTCAAGCAGACAAAATTTCCTGGATACCAAAGGGGACCTAACAGCAAATAAATTAATATTGACAAGTATTGAGTAAATGAGACAATTATATAGTACCAATATAAAAATGGAACATTCCCATATAATCTAAATATTGATCAGATGAGCTACCAGAGACATGAGGTGATTTCTTGCATTTCATGTAGGGATTGTTCAGTTCAATCTGTGAAACCTTGGCTTTTCTTCAATGTATATTGTGTCCACCTTCATGTGCACATTGGATAAATTTTGATTTTTCAAGTAGACATTGTGTTCCATTGAATTTGCACTCCTTATTGTATACTTGTAAATTTCTGGCTGTTTAGCCAGTGTAACATCTGCAACAGTCATAGCTGTACACACAGTGCTCATCTACTGTGCATCTCTTACAGGCCTGGTTTTAGTCAGTGTCACATGGAGTATATTTAGTTTCGAAAATCATCCTAACCTTGAAGTGGTCATCGGTATGTTAGAATTTTTGGAAATGCCCTTAATATGTGTGGTAATGACTATCCCATGATTTGTTCTATCTGAAAGAAGAGTTTGCTTCTCCCTGGCAACATAATGGAATCAATTAAAATACTTTAAGTCTGCTTGCGGACCACAGGTTGACAAATGTTGGCTTATGGCATTCTTTCTAGTTTGCGCTAATCGAAATGACCACACAATCCAGCCAAATTTGCAGTTCAGGTTTGTGCAGTCAAAAATGTATCAACAAACTGAGCGTGTAGACGGCACTTTAGGCATTCAACATATTTACGTTTTGACATTTGGCAACCTGACTGTACGTAATGCGTGAGAATTGATCCGTGTTGCGATGTATGGGGCTATGTAAATCCGTGGTTGCAATAAGTAGGTGATTCAACGTGGTAGTGTTGCAACTCTTGACACGTGTGGATACTACCACGATGACTACGGTGGTTACGATCGTTGCGATCCATCGCTCGAAAGTAAACCGAAAGGGGGGCGGGGGACGGTGGCAGTTGTCGGATGTTGTCTGTGATTTTTCGTTGCAAATTTTTTTTTTTTTAATTTAAGTTTGTGTTTTTGCAATTAAGGTTAATCAAGTATTACACAAAATGTCGAACAAATTCGATGCGTAAGTTTATTGTAGTATGGTTGTATTACTTTATCCTTGCGGTATGTGGTTGCATAAATGATCTGAGAAGTTGTACCTGTTTGTGTAACGCACATAACCAACCTTTGGTAAGGAAAGGCCTATGGGACCTTTAAACACTACTCACCAAACACACTGCATTTCATTTCTAATGCATAAATATGAACGAGACATTACCTAGTAACTTGCAAGATCTCGTTTTCTCGTATAGTTCTTAGTTTTCCAGATTGTGATCAGGGAAATAAGTTTTTTTTTTTATGTCAGTTGAACTTCATGGCACTTCAGTAAAATGAGAGTGGCAGCATTATTTAATGCTTCAGTGTACGTGCCCAACAAACAGATACTTATTCCTAGTGGTTTATTTTAGCCTGATGTCACAGAGCTGGCTGGTGTAGTGGTAACGTTCCAAACTCTTATGAAGAAGGTACCCGTTTCGAATTTCTGCCAGAATGCCAGGAACCCAGATTGAGGTCTTTTTATATATTTTTCTTTCCTGTTGCTTCTGGAAAATGCTGGACCTGTCTCCATTAGGCTTTGACCTCTTCCTTCCACATCCTCTCCATAATGATCATCAATCCAATCAGGGCTCTGTACTGTACATAACTGACAATGTAAATTAAGTTGACAGAAAGAAGAAATACTGACAGTAGGTAGTCTTTACATGGTCTGACAGTAAAGTTCGCAAAGTCATCGCAGTGAAAGTGCTGCATACCTCATTGCTGAATATCACTGTGGTTGCCTTCAAAGTACTCACTTTGGAAAGCTATGCACTGATGCCAGCACCTAGTCACCTTTCAAAACACTTTGGAACTGTTTTTGTGGAATGGCCTTCAGAGCTGCCATCATATTACTCCTGATGTCATCAATGTCATAAACAAGTGGCATAATAAAAAGCACAAAGACCCCATGTGTCACCATTTGGAGTCTTTACTGGCTGAGGTTGTTCAGCCAAGTCACCCATTTTGTAATCAATCAAAGAGTGTTGGCCACCAAAGACTGAAATGTCAATTTCTGTGTTCTGATTTTTTTCCTCAATACATCTTGTAAGAAAGGCCATAACATTTGTCCAAAAAATGTGTGATCCAGCCATGAATGTATAAGCGCCTGTTTTCGTAATAGCATCGTCCCATTATTGTACAAAAACTTGAAAATATGCATGGCTGAAAGCTAGGTTGGGTGATGTGGGCAATGTAGCTATCCTGCATTGTTACCCATCATTTAATGGAAAGCAAAATCATCTTTTGGTGCAGTAGAAAAAAAAACAGATGGTTTACTTCCCAGGATGAAGCTTCTTGAACATTTGCAGTAATGTTTCTTCTTGAGTATATGACTTTCTTGATACCAGTCAAATCTGTAGAAGATTTTTGAGTGTGTCTGTGGGCCCAAGTTACTGGCAGAACTTTGTGATTTATCTCCAAACTGTCAGTGTAATTTTGTTTAGGTTGAAAAGCAGTGATGACAGTGGTGAAGAGGAAGTCAGTAACAAAGATCTCCAGAAAGCAGAAAAGGAGTCTTTGGTAAGTAGTGTTCCTTTGTTATGAATGTGTTACTGAAATAGTCATATGTGATAGATGACTTGAAGTGTCACTGTGGTTTTTTTTGGGGGGGGGGGAGAATTCCCAAGTTTTTAAAGTACAAGTATTTTTCTTGGATTTGAGGTTCCCACAGCAGTGGCTATGGAGATTTCTGTAATCTTAAATATAATATCATGTAGTTGAGTGAAAGTCAACCAGTAGTTTGGAGGAACATATCGTCTCCCTCTCCAAGGCCAAAGAGTAAGCCAGAAGCTGGTTACAAGCTGAGCCTTATCCATAAAATCCTTTAGATCAGCCTGGTTTCTTGCATGGATTACTCTTCAACCCTGAAAATGGAGGTGGTATGTTACTTTGAAATGTGACGCTTTCTCTGAACTACAGAGCATTACAACCTAGGACACCATATTATATATAAGTACAAAGGAGAGTCAATAAATAGATCACAAATGGAAGTAAAACAGCTGTAATGGATGTATTAGGTTTTCTGTGTGTATCACTAGGTAGCAGCACAGTCCAGCTTCATGACAGTCTAGGTAGCAGATGCACACAGGCATGTTCAGAGGCTGGTTTTGGTAGTCAAAATGGTGACCATTCTCGAGTGTATGACTGAAGAGCAGCATTCTTTTGTGTGTGTTTTGTGGCCAAAAGAACTAAATGCAAAGGATATTAATGAAGAAATGTTTCCTGTTTGTGGTAGGAAGTGTTTGTTGTGTGAAGTGGTTCCACCTTGGTGTCAGATGTTTTACTAGTGATGAAGAGGTTGAAAGAAATGTGTGGAAGTGACTGAAACGACAGTCAAAAGACTTCCATGCTGCGGGTTTCAGTGCACTGGTAAAGTGATGGAACAAATGTATCATGTTGCTGGAGGATATATCAAGAAATACATTTTTTCCAGGTTCTAATATCACATGTTTTATATCCATTTTGACCTGTTTACTGGTTGTCCCTCATACATAGGCAGCACTGGAAGCCATCAGCACATTTATTAAATATTAAAGCAAAGGTATGCATACAAAAAGAGATAATATCTCCAGTTATTGCAGATGTCCAGTCATTATTCCATTGAAACCCCAAGAACATTATACATATTTTCTGTCAGTGCTACACAAGCTTGAATATTCCACTGTGGTAGAAGTGCATGGTGAATGGTCAAATAGTTTTACATGTTGGATAACTTAGGAAGTTTTGTGATAATTTTGAGACATATTGAAATGAAACTAATTAGGAACCATCTAAGATGGGTCATAGGGCTATTTACAGGACGCTGTTATGTGATAGGAGACCTTTTTAAATTTCAATTAACTAACAATCCCACTTGTGTGAGGTGCCTCAGAAAAGATTAAACACCTCACATATCGTATATCATTGTGAAGCTATGGCTTATTTAAGATTTTATCACCTGTGACATTACTTTATGCAACCAGGTGACTAACCAGACGCTCCTTTAAGTGAGGTACTATGCTTCATTTGAAGTGTAGGATTGTACTCGATGCACAATAGATCACTGATTGTCTTGGTGCATGGATGATGGCCCACCCTCCATTCATCCATTCATTCATTCAGATGTTTAATAATTACCTATGTAGGTATATGAAGTGACATACCACTCACTGCTTGTGTTCCAGGCTCCAATAGATGTGCCAGCATGGGAGCATAAGTTGCAGTATGCATATTGCTTATGGTTCAGTCGGCGGTCTCCAGGAAAGCAAGCTTCTCTGCAAAATTATGATCAAAATCTGAAGCTGATAGGACGGTTTGCCTCTGTGGAACAGTTCTGGGCCTTGTATAGTCACCTAGTGAGGCCATCAGATCTACAGAGTCATAGTGATTTCCACCTGTTCAAAATTGGAATCAAACCCATGTGGGAGGTGAGTTTGGCGTTGCCCATTTCTGGCCCACTTTCATCTTATAAGCTGTATGATGTAAAGCACTTTTGAAGGGTACAACCTTCTGGGTTGTAATACTGTGTAATTTTGGAGAGAGCCCATTGTTTTGGAGAAATATTTTGCCTCCATTTTCAGGAGCAAAGAATAAGCCAAGCAAGTAGGCAGGAGAAGCAGGCAGCAAGGTCGGCTCTGAAATACACCGCATTGTAACCCAGAAGGCCATACGTACTCTTCATACTCACTGCTGTGAGAAACATAAATCAAATATAGTGGCTTTCGATAGTACTGGTTGCTTTAACCAGTAAAGTGTTTCTTTTCCATGTTCTTATCTTTCCCTCAGTGGCGCATTAAATTCCCCGGGACATTTAAATTTGTCACTAAGTCCCTTAATTTTATAATTTTTGCTCCCTTCTTTAAAATCAATATCTCAATTATGTTTCTTCTTCATCCTCCTCCATATTCAGCCATATGGTCATTTTAAATTTAACCTTTGCCTAACTCCCTATTTCTGTCCATTCTTTTCTATCTTTAGCCTTCTTTCTCCATTGCCTTACTCCCATATTTCTATACTCATTCACAGCCTCATGCTCTCATCATATTCTCGGTCTCCCAGTGCTTCTTTTCCCAACAGGTCTGTCATCCAGAATTTTTTGTGGTACCCTGCTGCTTTCCATTCTCAAAACATATCCTGGCCATTTTATTCTTCTAGATTTGATGACAGTCACAGTAACTTCTTCTTTTTTTGTACTGTCTCATATATGCAGCATGACTATTATCACCGGACATCTTATCAGTGTGTGACATATGCTGGCAGCTTGCCTATGGTATTGCATCATCCACTAAACAATGAAATTGAATCAGCTGCATTTATTATAAACAAATGGCCATAACTCCTAAACCATAAACGATTTACCAAACCAGGTTGCATTTTTGAGAAGCTTGCATTTAGTAATGCATTTCATTCGCTATATGTCCAGATCCATCTGTGTGCTTCACTGAGCACATGATCAGAGAGTTGCATGATTCCCAGAGTTCTGAGACAGAAGAATATGTTCATGAGTCCGTCAGGACCTGGAGCCAAGAATGACTGCTGGCAAGGGTCATCAGCAGTTTACGTGACCCAACTAGGACAGTCAGAGATATATAGTCATGGGTCCCACAGGGCCCAGAACCAAGAATGACTGTCCACACTGTGTCAAGTCACTAACATGTGACATGCTAGATTGGTTACTGTGCTCTCCTAGGTGCTAGCTGGCTGGTTCATGTATTTTTGTACATGCTAGATTGATCAGTATGCTTTCCTAAATGCTAGGTGGTGTGTTGTTTTGTTAATGACTGATGCTGATAAGTGGATTTGTTCCAGTAGTATGAGGAAAGGGTTTGGGAGACTGGGTACTTGTCAGACAGGGGCTGTATCAGTAAACCAAAGGTGTCCCCAGATATTAGTCAGTGTACGCATATATTGGTTTTCCTGTCTAATGTTCTCCAAGTGATACAGGGACAGTATTTATGACCACTGGCTATGACTGTTTATCAGACATTCTACTGAGGTATGTTCATGTATTTGTGATTGTACTGTCAGCTTTGTTACCAGCTGTGGCTTCACTCTTTTGGTTTAGGATGAAGCAAATCAGAGAGGGGGAAAATTGATATTGCGACTGAGGAAAGGTTTAGCGTCACGTTGTTGGGAGAACCTAGTTCTGGCAATGCTGGGAGAGCAGTTCATGGTTGGAGAAGAGATATGTGGTGCTGTTGTGTCAATTCGATATCAGGTGAGCAAATTCTACACCAGTGGTTCAGTCCTTATAAAGGGGTAGATGAAATGAATTTCATAAATTTTCACAAAGGGTAGAGGCCTAAGAGAGGTTTTGCTAACTTTCACTTGTGCATATTTTTTATACATGGAATAAGTAAAGTTTGTTAAAATGAAAACATCTGTATGTCTTGTCATGTTTAAGTTATGTAACATATAATTTGGGATAAAATTAATTCAGTCCACATCGGTGGACCTTAACTGCCTTGCCTTGTCCTCGTTGGAGGATAATATTGGGATAGCGAGAATTATGATTGTTCGCATGGGAGTCATTGTGTTATAAAGATTTCAGATAGAAGTTTCTTAAACAATGTGAATATGATTTGAGAACTTCCAGTACAGTTGATTGTATCATAGATTGAAACTTCAGAAACAAAACCTATGCTATAACATTTTGAAATATAAAATTAATTGGTTTCACATGTCGACAGAATTTAAGGAAACAAACATCCAGAGCTATTAAAAAGGATCCAAATCACATCACTCAGGAAACTGTGAAACAGTGTACTGGATGGTGGGATTAGAACATGTTAAAAAGTGGCCCTACTACCTGGCAGCTAGGTTATGATTACTGCTGCTGCCCCCAGTAGTGGGCATGGGTGGGGGTGGGTGGTGGTACTGTTGTTATTATATATAGTGCTCTCCTCCCTTTGAGCTTCTGAAACGTGTCTAGATTATTTAATACTCGGTATTATTTGAAATTTTTAATGTTCACAGGAGGATATAATATCTGTTTGGAATAAGACAGCATCAGATTCATCAACAACAGCAAGAATACGGGATACATTCCGAAGAGTTCTTAACTTGCCACCAAATACAGTGCTAGAGTATAAGACTCATAATGACAGCCTGAAGTAAGTGCCATATTTTGGATTTATATTAAATGTTGTAGTTGCTAAGCAACAGCTTTATTATTATATTACTCTATGTCTAGAACATCATTGAGGGCGTATTTTATCATCAGAGTAATGTAGGTTGATACATCATTATGTAGAAACTTATATTTTTTTTATACAGTGGGATCCAGAGATCTCATTGAACACTTAGGTCTGCTTCTGTGAAGGTGCCTACTCATGGCATGACATACTCTCAGATCTATTTTATTTCCACAATACACCATTGCTGCACATCGCCTAATGTTGTGCATCATCTTTGCTCAAGTTACCCACAATATATGCCAACTTCATGATTACATGTGTGATTTCTTTGTTCATTCACAATTGGGACATGTAGATTACTTCCTATATACTACTAATAAAGGTAAAGTTATCACTGTAACATGTCATGGAGGCCCATAGGGTTGAGACATTGAGGCTCCCACATTTTCTGGACATTCGGCTCACAGATGGCGGTGAGGTCATCAGCCCTATAGGCCGGCAGCCCTTTACTTCCAGGAAGATTCCCGGTACTCATTTCTGTTAGAGACTGTCAGCACCCAGGCCATAGTGCGGCTGAATGGATTAGGTCAATTTAAAAATCCAGTGACCTCATCAGGAATCGAAGCCATAACCGCAGTTTATTTCACCTTGGAGCCTTCAACAGTGCGGGAGCATGAGTGCTGTAAAGCTTGTTGTTAGAGTGGAATTCTATTATTTATATTATTATATTATACAAGGTGTGGCAATAAAGAAACCGGATTCATGCTCTAACCCTTTATTAAAAAAAAATCAGACAGTCGAAATGTTATCCCCTTCAATGTAGTCCCCTCCCCGATCCCTACACCGCTCCATGCGAATTTTCCACTGTTGGAAGCAGTGCTGCAGGTCATCTTGTGTTATGCTCTTCAAGAGTTGCGTCGCTTTTGCTTTCACTGCATCCACGGACTCGAACCTGGTCCCTTTCAGCGCAGACTTGATTTTTGGGA